TCAGAAGGGAAGCTCGGTACTCACTCCATTCGGAAGTATGCCACAACATATGCACGGCAGTGTGGTTGCACAAGGGATGAGGTGGATTATAGAGCTCGATGGAAGTCGCGTCGGCAACAGGATCGATATACTGACACACAGCTTGCATGGCCTGATATTAATGTTGCATCGAAGCTTTGTTTTGGAGGCATCTGTTACTACAAGCCTTTGCAAGGGTCGGGAGTCACTGATGAATGGCTTGCTTCTTCAGTTGCTCCTAATATTGCCAATGTGTTTGGTAACCAAGTCGCAGCGATTCTAGGAAAGGCCTTGCTTTGGGCTTGTTGCAATCCGGCAATGCAAGCTTCTGGCTTGATCCCTGAGGATGTAAAGCAGGATGTTGTCGGTTCTTGGATTCAACTCAATCACAGTCATGGTCCTCAAAGATTGGATGCTGATGTGAATCCTATCAAGCGCGTTGAGCTGACTGCTAATGAATTCAGCGGGCAAGTTCACTTTGATGAGCTTGCTGATCCGGATGATCTGCTTGATGCTGGAGCCCCTGGAGCTGCTGGAGGGACTGCTGTTGGGATTCGACGTACTCAGTTGCAGTGGAATCATGCGATGTTCTCAAAGCTCTTTGCCACAGCCAATCAAGTGAATGAAATAAAGAATAGGCAGATTGCAAGTGAAGCTAAGTTCAACCAAAAGCTCAATCGAGCAATTGAGCTGTCCCAAAGAGCTGCAATGGCCCCCGTAGCAAGAAGACGTCGCGTCCGAGCTGTAAACAGCGGTGCGTCGGAAGCTGGTGGTGCAGGGACTGAAGTAGCGGAGCTGTGCAAGTGTCCTAATGATCTWTATGTCCTCTGGAATGAATGGGAAGTGGGTGTTGGTCTGAATAAGGCTGCAAAGGAGTTCACTGCTGCTGAGCGCGGCAGAGTGAAGAGCAAGTACTGTAGACGTTTGAAGTTCTGGAAGTGCATGGAAAGACTCATCAGAGCTGGTTGTTCTTCTGAAGTGGCTGTAAGAAGAATTTATGGAGTATATGGAGGCCCTTCRAAGCGCGTTTCATTCATTCTTAGAGCCATGGCTCCCCATGAAGCTGTTGGGGGTCACCACATGCTTCGCGGACCGGCTGTTGGTGTTGCCTAATGATCTTTCTTGTTCTTCTTAGTAATCGTTGACGCGTCGATTGTAGACGGCTCAATGCTTCTTCCGTGTTCTTTGTTGCGTGTCTTCTTTGTTCCTTACTACTTGTCCCCCCCCTTATATCGAAAAAAAGCATAAAAATATAGTGTACTGTGTATATGTGAACTTTAGTATTTTGCTGTATTTTGCTATCCTCAACAAGAGGACCATGTTGATAGCTGACAGGAGTGTTAGTATCGACAGTGTTGTTATCGACGTGATTGTCGAGAATTACTCTCCCAACTTTGTTTTTTTTCTATAGAATTTCATAGAGTTTGCCTTGTGGGTGATCGTGTGCACGATCGTGTGAGTGCTTCTCATCAAACACGCTGATACTCCAGCACTCCAGTCTTGCCGCGCTCTGTCTATAAGACCTACGAGTCTTATGTACTGTGTTCTACATGGTTGCAATATTAGTTATATTTTCTTTGTCAAGTACACAAAGAAAATATAACTAAAAATTACAACCGTGTAGGACACAGTACATAAGACTCGTAGGTCTTATAGACAGTGCACGACAAGACTGGAGTGCTGGAGTATCAGCGTGTTTGATGAGAA